AAGACCCTTTGTAGGGGCGTGTTTGTTTTGGTGATTTCAAATATCAACATTGGCTACCAGAAATCACTTACTCTGCCTTTAATGAGCCGTGGCTATATACAGCCCTCACTGTCAGACTGACTACATTTGCTCTATACCATCCATATAATACAAGGTGCTCAATGTCTGAGTATGCACACATGCAAAAAAGCAAAGACTTTACAATATATAATATAATATAATATAATATAATATTCAAAGGCCTGAGGTCAGTAAGACTTTTTAAAAGAAATTAATACTTTAAGCAAGGATACATTAAAATTGATCAAAAGTGACAGTAAAGAAATTTTTAATATTACAAAAGATTTACACTTCAAATAATTGCTGTTCTTTTGAACTTTCTTTTCATCAAAGTATCCTAAAAAATTGTATTGCGGTTTCTACAAAAATCTTAAGCAGCACAACTGTTTTCAACATTGATGATAATAATGTTTCTTGATCATCAGCATAATTAATCAGAGTATTAGAGTGATCATGTGACTGAAGACTGGAGTAATTGCTGCTGAAAATTCAGTTTTGCAATTACAGGAATAAATTACATTTTAAATTATATTAAAACATAAAACATATTTTAATTTATAATGATATTTCACAGTTTTTACTGGATTTTTTGATCAAATAAATGCAGCCTTAAAAAAACCATTGAAAATATCTTATTGACCCCAAACATTTAAATGTTAGTGTATATTTATTTATAAATTTATACGTTCAAATAAATATTTCATATAAGTGTTAAAATATAAATTGTTTCATATGCTATATATACATAATTTCATGACTATTTATGCTATATTTATGTGTACTGATAATTATTTTCACATTCATTTTCATATCCCTGCTTATTATTTTGAAGCCAATCTGCCAAAACGACAGGTTGTGGAATGTGCCATTTTATGATGTAATAGTGTGGCTATAAAAAAGAAGATCAATGCCTGCTTCTACATCACTGCCTGTTTAGCCCCGCCCACCAATTCACGCATTGTAGTGTTAATAATGAGAGCAGCAAACGCAGGTCTACGCAGAAACCAAACAATAAAGACACTGTGTGGTGTCGCGTCAGTAAGAACTTGGTCGTTTTTTCACTTCATTTTACAGCGGATTTGTTTACAAACAAGACACAATTCGACGCAGGATTTTCAGAAAGATTGAAACTAAAAGAGTCTACAATCCGCCACGCCTATTCAAACGGAGCGTTGTGATGAGGGGGGTCAAAACAGGACAGAAAATAGCCTATTCTAAATTATAATGTTTTTTGATGTAAAAGTCTTGATAACATTATAAGTGGACCTCAGAGAAAAGTAATTCATGACCCCTTTAATGATGCCATTGGCCACTGTGCTTGTTTCCTCTTTCTCTTTAGATTTGCGCCCTATTTATTGCTAACAGATCAAAACAGGCCAAGCTAAATTTAGCCCTTTAGTCACTCCGTCTCCGTCATTTCAGTTCTTGCCCCATTTCTTTCTGTCTCTGGGTTTGTAACCGGACCCTAATGCCCACTCAGCAAAATCTGCAGTGTAATCTGACACCTGAGTAACCCAGTACTGCTCCACATACTCGACACATGTTTGAGGGGCTCCGGACAAACTACAACCATACACCCGTCACCTCGCTGGGGTTTCGAGGTCAGATTGGACCTCGAGGATAAACACAGTGTTTGTGTCTAAAACTGGGAACGGCTTTCAGGGTTATTAAATTTATATTATTTGTCTCAAATGCGCCCCATGCTTATGAGATACTTGAACACTGACCAAGAGTTTTTAGTGGAAATTCTCCTGCTCTAAATTCAGTCTCTGCGCGGTGTGTTGTGTCTGCATGTGGGATATCGTGCTGAAAGGAAACTGTGTGCTACCTAATGAAGATGGGAGTCGTGCTGAGCATCCATAGTTTATAACGAAACCAGAGCCAGTTCTCCTTACATATTGTACGAGACCACACGCTGAATATGACACTTTTATGTGCGCCATTGGCCGAGCTCCAAACTGTTTGAATGATAAGTTGTTCCCTCTATAAGCTTTCATTTACTAAAGTGACCCAAAGAGCATTTCAATGCTTGTTTAGTGTTTTACTGCTAACATTGTTCACAGTTCACCATCTATTTAGCTAATAGAGGCTTCTTTTTTCCATGTGCAATGTGGGTGGCTCTCAGGAAGAATGAAGATCTGTTACAGTAGATTTTCATGCAATATTATGTTGTTCTTACAGTCGAAAGCAAGAGATTCGTCTTTAGCTGTTTCTAAAAAGTGAGCACTTTTAGTGGCATTCAGTCATTTGTGTTACTGCGTTTTGGTGATTTATTGATGTTCGTCTGAGACCTGTAAGCAGCTTTGCTGTTACAATATTTGAGCTTTAAAATCCCATAAATTCTGGTGTGTTAGACAAGGCATCTATGCAGACTCTGTTAGCTGCTTGGCAGTCTTCTTTTTTTTTAGCAATTTACAAGTCAAGTGCACAGAAAGTGGAAAGCAGAGCAGTCAGGTACAGCAGGACCATTCAGCAGAAAGACTCAAACCTGGGTCTTTTTCCACTTTAGTACTAAATCATCTGGTTTAGGTCACCTAGGAGGGAAACCATCTGGTTAAGTCAGTCAATTTAGTGCCTATAACCATCAGGCATTGTGCACCCTTGTGCATTGTAATACAGACAAAAAAAACCCCATTAAAATAAAGACATAAATACATTTTCTTTTGCTTTTAGAAATTAAATATGCCGATATTCAACAAAATTTGCTAAAAGACTTCTTAACATTATATCTGTTGTATGCACTCTCCTCTACCAGTATTTAATGGGCAGACACGAACTGCTGAGGAAAACGAGAGCAGTTTAAGAGCCAGAGGGAGAGACGGGGTCCATGGGAAGGAGAAGAACACTGTAGCATCAGCTAGGACCTCCACTACACACAATCTAAGACCCACCAGGGCTGTACAAGAACAAAAACAACAGGTATGACTGGATTTCTGTTTTGTTTTGCATTGTTCAGACATTTTTCTGTATTGTTGTCCTATGACCTCGCCTTAATTTTCTTGTGATCTCAACATAAAAATAATAGTTTTCTCCCAATCTTGAGCTAATTTTTACAAGAGAAAAATAAGTATTGCTCATCATTTCTCTGGTCAACTGCAAAGCATTTATTATCAACTAATTTAATATCAAAGCATTTAATCAACATCTGTCAAAAATTATTCGGACATCCCAGTCCCTCGAGCTGCCTAGAAGCGAAATTGACCACATGTTTGCATCACTATAGTATTTACAACAATAAAGTTGTAGCTTCCTTCCCAAGTGTATGACACGGATGTGGAAGTTTTTCCAATTTTCCAATGCGGTGTCATTTGCCTCTGTATTACTGTTTGCTAATTCAGTCAGTACAGTACAGTACAGTGGTATAATAGAGACTAAGCAGGACCCGTTTGTGTTCATCAAAATTTCCTCCCTTTTCTGCCAGAGCGTCCTATGGGCTCGCAGAGCAGCATATGGTTAGCTTTACCCTATCCCTACTATCCTGCAGCAGGCCTATAGCAACACATGATGTCATCTCTCCTCCCCACTCTCTCCACACACAGTCAAATCCAGTGGAGTGTGCAAGTACCACATACTGTGTCCAGTTTTTTGTAAACATGAACTGTCTCCATGTGGTGGACCATTTGTAGATTTGTTGAAGTTTCTGTCAATAACTTTGGTTTTTGAGTCAAATGAATCGTCTCCCATCCCCCATCACATGCAAATGAAACAATCATAGTACATGGCCCAGGTCACGTGCAAGAGCTCCCCAAAAAAAGAAGGAACGGCTCCATTGAGCCCCCTAGTGGAAGAATATGGTCACTTTGAGAGTAAATAATTGGAGGTTGCTGTTATGCATTCAGTTTGAGGAAGTTGTGTTTGCTTCTTCTTGACAACAACACTCTCAGTCCTTGCCTTTAAATCACATGTCATCCGTAAAAGTAGAGCAAACACCAAACTCATGTTGTAGCACTGCAGAACCACAGTGTTTACTGTAGCTCAAACAATTGCAGCAGGATCATAGTTTTTCATTCCTGAGCAGTGCGTGTACTGATAAAATTGAATGAATTTAGTTTTTTTTTTCTTTAGATAAAAATTGAGTGATTTAAGTTGCTTTAGATAAAAGTGTATAGTATATACTAGGGGTTGAACGACTTCTGATTTTTTAAAGTTGACTTTTATGTGATGAAAGTCGAGTCGAAGTTGACTAGTCGCTCATGACGTCATTAATGAACAAATATGTCTGGAGCTGTGAACACCGGTCGGCGTGATTTTGCCAAGTAAGACATGTTCCTGCATCAACATCTTTTGCTGATCCTGGATCAACATTACTGTCCAAAAATACAGACTTAACCCAATCCCTACCCCTAAAACTAACCTTACCCATAATTTATTCCTAAAATCAGAGGGAAATTATAGCTGATTAACAAGGGTGTAGAAGCACCTAACCCTGATCGTAAGCCTAAAACAGATATTTCCTGAAAAGTTATCTCTCAATTCTGATTGGTTGATTGGAATGATGTTCCTGGATCAACAAGGATGTTGATCCAGGAATAATCTCACATGTCTTGTGGAGCGCTTTCAGAGTATGCATTTATTTTCCATTTTAACTGTTTGGAAACGGAACGTAAATGTAGAAGTCCTTCAAAGATTTCTTATCCTGTTGCGCCCTCTATAGGACCAGCGACTAGTCGACGTCAAGCTTAAAGCGTCATGGCAGAGCATTGAACTCGATTAGTCGATTAGTCGGTGCAGCCCCTAGTATATACATACAATGACGTTTTTAATTCAGAATTAAAATTCAATTTGGTATATTTTAATTCATAAATAGATGAAAAGCATTATAAAAAAAAAATTAGTTTTCCATACTCTTTTAACTAAATAATTGATATTAAAATAATAAAGAATTTAAGATTGCAATAAACATTTTAATAAAACTGCTCACTGTTTTTTGTTAATATTAATTTGTTATTAACATTTATATTCATTTAAAAAAAAACATTTGTCTGCAAAATCAAACTCGTGGTGCAATCAACATGCAGAAACATTAAAAAAGCATAAAACGGGAAATTATGCCATAGAGAGGATCCTTGAAGACTCTGTCAAGGTCAGTAAGTCTCTTTAAATATCAGATAAATTGACGAGGCAAATTTAGTTCAGGTTGTAAAAATTGGTGACCTTCTCCAAAAATGTAATGATATTTATGAATTATTAATTGATTCAAATGTTTACAAATAATTATTAAAAACTTCACAGTCAGTAAACTTTTCTTGAAAATGGAATGTTTTTTTTTAACCATATGAAACCAACATACTAATAATACTAGATGAATACTCAGAACTTATTACATGTGTTTTAAACTAGATAAAAAAAAATAGAAGTGACACAGCACCTTGTATGTTGTGTTTACTGTATAATCAGTTTTCTAGAGTGTAAATAAATGAAATAAAACAAATCATTTTTGTCATCCTTCAGGCCTCCAAAATGAATGGAACATCGGGAGCATCCGCTGTCAGTTCTAGGAAGACGAGAGAACTCCGCACTCCCCCGACCAAAGCTGTGAAATACCCCAAGGGCCATGTGACTTACACCAAAGCCAGACTGCTCAAAGAGGCCAAGCTCAGCCTGAGCACACATACACGCCACACCCACACACACCCTCAGCACTCCAACTCAGGAAAAGCCCAAACCAGCCACGCCAAGATGCAAAAACAGGTGCTATCACCAGCAACCGCTGGGAGGCTGTGTGGGAAGGACACTTTCCCACCCAGACGAAACGGACTGAGACAGTCAAAGAGGCAGTTGGAGTTAGCTGGGGTTAGTCTGACTGGAGCAGAGGTCGAGGCTAAGAGGGTCAAAGTACAAGTGGTTCCCTTGGAGACGCGGAGTAGGAAAGCAGCTCAGGAGACGCCGGTGAGACCGCAAGTGGCAGGATCGCAACGGCCCAAACGGGCCTTGGCGGGGAAGCTCATGTTCACCAAACAGATGCACTGTAAAGCCACCGTTCTGGCCAAGAACAGCCCCACTACCTCAACACAAGACATTTTAAAACCAGCCAACTCCCCCAAAATATCAGAGACCCCCAAAACAAGCAATTCACTAAAACAAGGCAATCATTCTAAAACAACTGAGCCCCTCAACCAAGCTGAGCCTAAAGAGCGAGGCCGGCGCAGCACGGAGGTCACGGAGGTTCCTGTTTTCTATCCCAGCACACGCGAGCTCCACGACCCAATGACTTATATGGAGTTTATGCGGGGGCAAGCGGAGGCGTATGGGTTGTACCGGGTTGTTCCACCGGCGGATTGGCGTCCTGAGTGTAAGCTTAAAGAGGAGATGCGCTTCGTCTCGTACGTGCAGCATGTGCACAAGCTGGGCAGACGCTGGGGCCCAAATGTACAGCAACTGGCCTGCATCAGGAGACACCTGCGGACACAAGGCATTAATATGGAAGAGCCTCCACTTATAGGTAAGAAGTGCTGGACAGGAAAACAATGTTTTGAAAACAGTGCTGGGGAGTAAATAAAAGTAGCAACGCTACTAACGACAGCTACTTTTTTAGTGGTGTGACAGAAGCTGCGATTTTAAAATGTGTGTTTTTGTCATTTGTAGCATGGGTAAGTCTGATTCATTATTGTGAATCCAATCATCTTTATTAGGGTGACCATACGTGCCATTTTCCCAGGATGCGTCCTGGCCAGGATTTCTATATTGCCTAAAATATCTAGGTTTTGGCTTTGTTTGCGTGTGCAGACCGATCGGTGTATGAAATCAAAGAAACATACAGACGGTTATGCTTTCGAAATGCTCTCGAGGAACTTTGATGTCAAACACTGATCGGTCTGAGCCGCTTTTAAGTCGAACACACCTAATATGTACGCGTAATTGCATCGCTTTGACCGTAGATCCCACCTTCTCACACGCCATGATTGGTCCATTATGTACAATGCTTGCATGTTATTGGTCAAACTACTTTTCGATCATTACCTTCAGCAAGCATGAAAACAGGAAAACAAAGCCAAAACAAATCCTGGCCAGGACGCATCCTGGGAAAATGGCACGTATGGTCACCCTATCTTTATCAGATGTAACATTTGAAAGTATGATCAGTTGACATAAATCAGTTTGTCATAAGCGTTCCTCTTTCTCTTATGCTGCATTTGAAAGTATGATTCGTTCTAGTGAATCAGTTTGTTATAAATGCATCTCTCTCTCTCATATGTAGCATTTGAAAGTGTTATTCCTTATAGTGAATCAGTTTGTCATAAACGCTCCTCTCTCTTTCATATGTAGCATTGGAAAGTCTGATTCATTCCATTCAAATCAGTTCATTTGGATGAATCATTTTATAGCAAAATATTTAATTAATTGCTCCTGTTCATCACTATTTTTTATTTTAATTTGGTTGTATTTTATTTTTTACTTGTATTGTGTATGAATTTATCTGTTTAGGTTTTGTCAGAAAAATATTGTTTAAATATAATATCATCACATTAATTATAAAAATATTTACCTTGTTATGAAACTACTTTGTTACTAGCTTGACTGCAGTGGAACTGCTTCAGATTATGAAGCAGAAGCTACAGTTTCAAAGGAGCTTTCCTTTTAATGGTCATAGGTCCAACATATTTTTATATTCATACCCATTACATCAAATTCTCTGTTAAATCCAGGCTACGTTGTCTTTAGTTGAAGTAAATTACATTAATGTCTTAGCTCAGACAATAAGTGGTGTTTTTGTACTGTATTAATATTCAGATAAGTATTCTATCTTCACTTGTAGGCTGTGCAGCTATATTTTAAGTGCATATCTATTGGTCATTCAGTCACTGACCTGTTCAATTTGGACAGATTAGCGAGCTCCTGATAGCAAAGGCAGCTTCCTTTGACGAGATTACACAGTGCATCTAGAGTAGGGCTGAACGATTTTGGAAAATAATCTAATTGCGTTTTTTTTTTTTACCAATATTGCGATTGCGATTTAATATGCAATTATTTTTTAAAGCTCTTTATGTTTTGTATTATTCAAAAAAGACAAGCTATAAATCATTGTATACAGGTGCATCTCAATAAATTAGAATGTCGTGGAAGAGTTCATTTATTTCAGTAATTCAACTCAAATTGTGAAACTTGTGTATTAAATAAATTCAATGCACACAGACTGAAGTAGTTTAAGTCTTTGGTTCTTTTAATTGTGATGATTTTGGCTCACATTTAACAAAAACCCACCAACTCACTATCTCAACAAATTAGAATACTCCATAAGACCAATAAAAAAAATGAAAATAAATAGCCTATTAAGTCTAAATATTTAAGTATTTGGCGCTGTGATGAACATCATAGCAAATACACAAATCTGAATGGCTGTTTAAATCATTTAAACACGATTCAGAAACCGGAAGTAGTGCAGCTGCTTTGTTTACAGGGTTTCCATTATTATTATTATTATTATTATTATTATTATTATTATTATTATTATTATTATTATTATTATTATTATTATTATTATTATTATTATTATTTCTGCAGTTTAGCGCCATCTGCTGTCAGAGAGTGAAAGTGCGCTTTCATTCAGTGCGTCTCTCACATGTTCCGCCATGTGCTTCTCGTCCGCGCTTGTTTACATCAGAGTGCGCACGCATCTTTCATGCAGCATACGGCGGTGTTGTGCATTTTGACCAGTTGATGGGAAAAGTATTCTTAAAATGCATTCTAAATTCTGAATAATTTGTAATATATAATTATTCACGGTATTTAGAAGTGCCCACGATAACAATATCGTGCATATTCATTACCGTGATATATCGCATTACCGAATACCGGCACAAGTCTATCCGATATTTACACGGGTCCTACTTCTTGCCTTATCGTAGGCAGATGTTCCGCAGACGTTTTGTTTTTTATCCGCCATCTCTATCTTTCTGTCGCTCGGCTCGGCTAATGTCCGTCCCATGCACTGAAAGCTCTCTCCTCCACATCACGAGTAGACACGCCCCTTATTGCTGATTGGCTACAAGTTTGTTTTGCTATTCGGCCCGAATCAGTTTTCTAAAGTGTTTTTGAAAAATCACATACCCTGCCTTGAACCGAAAAACCAGGAGGGGCTATCAGACTCCAATTATGAATGACAAAATAACCTTACAAAAGTCATACATTACACGGCTGAGTACACAGGGCATAGTCTATAAGTGCGTCAATTGGGACGCAACTTATGTAATGATTTCTATCAGTGGAGAGTTGCATCGAACACAACAGTTTGCACGACAGAACTGGATTTAAAGTCCAGAGCATGATGCTGCAGGTGCTTATACTTCATGCATGTTATTTTTTTCCACATATGAGTTGTTCATACCCACTAACCTCATCAGCTCAAAGCTGTCTGTTTTACCTGCTCTCCATCCGTCCACCTCCTCTCTGTTATTTTAGGTTGTGAGAATGCCGTCACTCCGTGCCTGCAGCTTTTCCTCTCTTCATTGTCATGTTTGTGAAGGATAGATGGTGTTGTTTTGTGTTCAGTGCTGGAGTGCGGCCCTGGGCTTCCTGTTGAGATCTTCTTCATCACTTTAAGCGGTCATCTGAGGATGTGTCTGCTTTCTTTATCATTCACTGCTCTTCATGGCTGGTATTTGGATTTTTAAATTTTTTTTGCATGCTCCTTATTTAGCATTATGTTTGATATATAATTATTTTTACTTTACGAGTTGTTAAGATGCTCAGGCTGACATTAACATTTTTGTTGTATGTTGTTGTGGATAAAGGTCTGCTTGCTTTTTTGATAATGAGTTTAACTTTTAATTTAACACTTCATGAACTCACTTAATATATTCATTTTACGTTACAATAACACCCATTGCTTTATCTAAAAACGCGAATGTCCAAGTTATATTTCACCCTAAAAAAAAAATAAAAAATAAAAAATTGAAATTATATTTAGCATAAAGAAAATAACGCATAAATCTTAATGACCATTTTCATGATAATTAAGCTAATTTCTTCTTAAATATTTTTTATTGTAATGTGAATGTTTTGTTTTTTTAAATGCAAAATGAAAAGATTATTCTTAATATTGTAAAGAAATAATAATAAAATTTTGGGCTACAACAATATGAGGAAAGTGCTGTTAAGCAATACATTTTGTCACAGGAATGCGAAAAATTAAATGAAAATCTTTCTGTTCAGTCAGTCATTATTTTCTTTTTACAATGAAATATTATAATATAATATTATTATTATTATAAAATCTAAAATATTATTTATAGAAAATATCATATTTTCATATTCATATTAAACTAATTCAAATTACAATAAGTTACCTAAAATGAGGACAGTGTTCTTAATTAAAAATAGATAAATTACTGCTAAATTAGTACTAAATTACTTTAGTTTTTAATTAATTACTTTACTTTAGTGACAAATGTGCTAAATTACTAAAATATACTTCATTTATTTTCTTTTTTTGTGGTGAAATATGTCCTGGACATTTTTTGACCGTTTTCATGAGATTCATCTTGACATTTGGAGTCATAATCACCTGCTCAGTCAAAACGTCTCTTCGAGTTTTACAACAGCTTCCTTTGAACGCTTCAGTTTTACGATGTATACATAACTAGCATTAAATCAACTTACAGCCAGTAAAGACAACATGTTCCTCCGGTATGTCATCAACAAAGGCTTACCTACTGTTTCCTCCCTCAATGTTTAACTTGTTATTTATATATCACAGACAGAAATAGGGTGTACAACGAAGTGTCCAGCAAAGAGCACATTATATTCCTCCGTTGCTGTGGGATGGGGCAAACCCTGCCGTTTGATTGCTCAGTTTCAGGTAGGAAGTTGCGTAGAGGGACGTCACTGAGGAGTGATGCCTGTTGAAAGTGGAAACAGCAACGGTTTCATTGCCATTGATTTAAGCTAACAGACACAATATTTATGAAACAACAAACAGCCACCCACAAATAGTCCATAAACAAAGCATCAGGCTGTCTTTGAGTTCACATGAACAACGGTTAAAGTTACTCGTCGTCAGGCTACAGAAGAATACCATAATTCCTCGAGCTATAAGAGAGCGCGGACGTCTCCTTATGCTTTCTCTCGCCTACTTTGATGTCATACACCGATCGATCTTCAAGTCGAACACACCTCTTTACTCTCGCGTGTCACGTGACCGAGTGTAATCGCAGCCTCTGAAAAATCGCGGGGTTTTCATATCGCGATATTATCGCGAATGCAATTAATCGTTCAGCCCTAATCTAGAGCCAAGACAGATAGACGGCTTAGTCTGGTCTCTTGTTGACTGAATGAGGAAAATCATCTAGGCGATGCCAGATAGAACCACTGCCTCCTTGCCAACCTCAAATCCTTCTTTAGTTTCAGTGTGCCACTCAAAGCCTGTGACTAATGGGGTATGTGCGCATACATTTAGAGATAAGAGTGAAGGGAAATTAAAGAAACAGCCATTTGCAACGCAGTGATTTATTTGTATCCTTTTTGCGTCCTATTAGGGGGCTGTGAGCTGGACCTGGCCAGATTCTTCCAGATCCTAAATGAAATGGGGGGAATGCAGCAGGTGACAGACCTGAAGTCGTGGGGCCGTCTCGCCGATCTGCTGGGCATCCCACGCTCGGCTCAAGATCGGCTGGCCAAGCTCCAGGAGGCGTACTGCCAATACCTGCTCTCCTACGACTCCCTGTCCCCAGCCCAAAGGACCCTGCTGGAGAAGGAAGTGCTGGCGGAGAAAGAGGCTCTGGAGAGAAGAAGTGGGCCCCTAGAGGGCCAGGGAGACATATCCCAGCATGCCGCTCTGCTGCTTCCACGCTCCGAGCCCAAAAATGGGCTGGTGAACGGAGCGTTGCACCGAAGCGGAGCACGTGAGCACCTCAGAGAGCTGGACCCCATGGCAAAGACCACCCGGCAGAGAAGACTAGAGAAGAGAGGGGAGGAAGAAGGGGTGATAAATGAACATCACAAGTGCATATACAGGGTATTTTTGCTTTATTTTTTGGATTTATATTTATGAACATGGTCTTTTTTAAGCATCAGTCGTTCATTGTTTGTCCATCTTTCACAGGGAAAGTCGTTCTCTCTGACGACATTCTACAGGGCAGCCAGGAATACTATGAACATGTGCTTCAGCAAAGAGCCAGACACTGCTGAAGTTGAGGTACATCTTCATGTTGACAAGCTGTTTTCATCATGTTTTTCTATGTGCAGAAATAAGTGATGTTTTTAATCGTGTTCACTGTCATGTCTTTTAACTGTTACAGAGGGAGTACTGGAGATTGGTTGAGGAAAAGGAATGCCATGTTGCTGTGCACTGTGGGAGGGTTGATACAAAGACTCATGGGAGTGGATTTCCTGTGGGCAAGTCTGAGCCATTTTCAAAGTAAGGGTTTTAAACATTTTACATTAAAGGGATAGTTCACTCAAAAATGAAAAATTTGATTCTGTCATAATTTACGCACCCTCCATTCGTTCCAATCCTGTATGAGTTTCTTTCTTCTGCTGAACACAAAAGAAGATATTTTGAAGATTGTTGGTAACCAAACTGTTGATGGTAGCCATTGACTTCCATCAAAATCGAGTAATTTTAATAGGATACATGATCTGAAATTTTGTGTGAGGATGAAAGATTTCCACACACAGATTTCCCAACGGGTTCAAGTTGGTCATGCAGATTCACCATGTTGACCAACACGAAGCTGCTTGCTTTGACAGTGACGTCTGCGTGAGCTTTGCTTCATACATCGCTACACTGTTGACAACAGACAATGGATCTTTTTTGCCTGTGCAATTTATCAAATATGACTGCACTATTGTTAAATTATGTGTTTTTAAATATTAACTTTGAAATCTTGGTGTAAAAACATAGGAAATAAGCAGGCACGCTTAAATATCCAATATTGGCTGATATGTACAAATTAACACCATTAACCTTTTTATTGACATTTATAAATGTATAAACTCTGTTGAAAATATAATACCAATTAATACTATTACTAAAATGCAAAAATGCTTTATTAGTATATACAACCTTATTGTAAAGTGTTACCTGTAGAAGATAACCAAAATAGGAAAAAAATAGTTTTTGTGCATTAAGTATTGTTAGACTTTAACTTTGATTTCTTTTTTGCTCTCAAGGCATGGATGGAATCTTACTGTCCTTTCCAATAACTCAGGATCCATCTTACGTCATCTTGGTGCTGTGCCAGGTAATGTTTTCTGAAAAACAAAACTTTCACGCATACAATAAAACTCCTTGATGATCAAGAGTTAAATTAGAATCCCATACTAGATGATTTAGAATGATGCGTATATTTGATCTGCTTTCGAAGCTGATGAATCTGTGCAGCAGTAAGTGTTCATCTGTTTGTGTTTGCATGAAGGAGTGACCATCCCCTGGCTGAACATAGGCATGGTCTTTTCTACCTCATGCTGGTGTCGGGACCAGAACAGCCTTCCGTATATCGATTACCTACACACTGGTGCTGACTGCATTTGGTAAGAGTTTAAAGAGATTGTTAGCTGCGATAAACTGAACCCGAATGGCGTGTTCCCTAATAAATGTCTCTCTCATCCTCAGGTACTGTGTTCCAGCTGAAGAGAAATCAAAACTTGACAAAGTAGTACACACACTGCTACAGGCTAACGGCACTCCAGGGCTGGAGATGCTAGAGAGGAACATTATGGTGAGTTAGGAACATAAACAGGTTTCTCTTAAAGGGATAGTTCACCCAAAAATTAACCTTTTTGTTATAAGTTACTCACCTCATGCTGTTGTTTTAATCTCTTCTGTGGAAAACACAAGATATTTTGAAAAAACGTTTTTTGTCCATATAATGATGGTAAATAGGACCCAAAACAACAGTGGACTTTTATTGTATGGACAAAAAAAAAAAAACGAGACATTTTTCAAAATATCTTCTTTTGTGTTCCACAGAAAGCAGTAAAACTGACCATTTTTGGTGACTGTCCCTATAAATTCACCCTCTTTCTGTAATGTAAAGGAGAATGTGTTTTGATGTGATGTTACTTATTTCACTTTTATCTCTTCATCCTCATGACAGATTTCTCCAGAGGTGCTCCGTCGAAAGGGGGTGAAAGTGTACCGGACAGTGCAACAGAGTGGTCAGTTCATGGTATGTTTCCCAGGGACCTTTGTGTCTAAGGTGTGTTGTGGCTACAGTGTCTCAGAGACAGTGCACTTCGCCAACCCCCAGTGGATGAAACTGGGCTACGAGGCAGCTAAGGTGAGAGACTCGATGCAGGGATGGACAAAGCCAGCTGGAACTTGGCTTGGTTCAACTCAAATAGAGCTGTATTTTTGTGAGTGAGGTTTAGCCTGTTTCCTGTGGGAGTATGGCGCTTTCACGCTCGTGTGTCGTGTTTGCTTTGCAGGACCTTAAACGGCGTCGTATAGAGGAGCCTTTCTCCACCGAGAAACTGCTCTACCAGATCACTACATGTGAGCGGGACAACAAGCAGCTCATGAATGCAGTCTCCAGTCTCATCAAAGATCTCAGGTCTGTCCGAAACACATCCTGAGGCTTGTTTTGACTCGTTTATTGAGCTTCAATGGCCAGAAACTCAGACAAATTCTAATTTCTTTCTTTGATGACCAGTGTTTTTCCAATTGCATGTTGATTGTGGTTATTTGAAGTGAGGATATTATGGAGCAGCAGATTCATTATATCATTTACATCTCTGCATTTAGCGACTTACGAAAGAGTAACTAAAGTAATTTGTCAAGTAGCCAACAATATTAGTAATATACAAAATAAAAAGATGCATTAATATATATTTAAAAAAAAAATCCACCTACAGAAAATAATTGATCTATATAAAATTTTAAAACTACTGTAAAAAACAAACAACGTTATTAGGGATTCATTATTAAAATTCAGATTTTAATTTTTCCAACACACATTTTTGTTATAAAATTCTAAAATATGTGATCAAAATAAGCAAAACAGTAAAACTACAAACTAAAATGTATGTACAAGTGCAAGTTTACTGCGTTATAATATGTAGTATGAAAAATGTACAATCATTTTTATTTTAGCATTTTTTAGCATTATTAAATTAATACCGTTTTTAAAGATGAATATTTTTTAGATACAGAAAATTTTCCGAATCTCAGTCTGTCTGTAGGGGCTGTCTGCTTATTGAGTTTATTTAACCCATCATAATTTATTGGAACTGCGTGAACTAGAGTGACTACTCACCTTAATGTTGTTCTAAAGGCTTGTTACTTAACCCTTGTGCGTCAATTAAAAAAAGTTACACATAGGTCCATAGTGGACAAAAATGTCCATGTCAAAAAACTGTCATAAAAATTTGAAGCTTGGGAGCACAGAGTTAAG